CTTACGTGCCTGTTAGCATTCTCCGGTGAGGTCTAATACCAGGCCAACTCGTTTAGTTATCCTTGTATAGCTTCGGATAAAGTTTAACTAGTTAGAATTAGTTTAGTTTCTTATTTTCTATTTTAAGTTAAAGCCCAAGTGGAGGCTTTCCTGTAAGCACGAGCGGGACCATCTGTTAGCATTTGGGTCAGTAAAAGGTTACTTTAACCCTTCTTTGGACTTATATTTTTTTAGTTGTAAAAGGACCAGCGAATAGTACCTAGACACTTCCTTAAGGTTCTTGTAGCCAAGGACACGTAAATTAACTAGAACTTTATAGCTGCAAAGAATCAAAATTTTACAACTATATTTGAGGTGCGGTATGTAGGGGTTTATGGAATTTAAACAATCTTACTTTTTACAAATACGTGAAGTAATTCCCTTTTCAGTCTCAGATAAAATTTAAAAATACTGGTCAAACTTTTATGTAGAAGTAAAATGAATAGAAGTAAAACTAAATTTTTTAAATTCGAATTCGAATCTAAGTTCTTGAAAGGTTTACATAATAAAAATAAAAAAAAAAAAAAAAACACTTTTTTTAAACTTTTTTTTTATTCTTAAAAAAATAAGATTTTAATTAAAGCAAATTAGTTAATTAGATAAGTTTAAGATAAGTTAAGATAAGATAAACTTTATGTTATCTTATATTATTATATATATATATAAGTTATATTATATATATAAGATAGATAAATTTAAGATAATTAGATAAAGTTTAAGATAAGCAAAGATAAGTTTTTAATTAAAGCAAAACTTGAAATTTTAAGAAATTTTAAATTAATTTAAGAATAAAAGAAATTTTATATTTAAATTTAAGACATTTTAAGAATAAAAGCTGTAGAGACATTAGGATTTTTTTGAAAGCCGAAGAGATGAAAAATAAGCAACCGCCTTCGCCGGAAATCGAACCACGGACATCTGGAATACCGGCCCAGCGTGCAGAACCACTACACCACGAAGGCACGCTAGGAAAGTGGGAGAAATACCTCATATACTCCCCTTTTTAAACTGCAACTGGGGTTTTCAGGGGACCCAATCACCAAATCCTGGGTGTGGAGAAACCTCATCCAACATTTTTTTAGTTCGGGCACCACCGTATAGTCATTAGGTTAATTGGAAGCAGAAAAGATGAAAAATACGCAACCGCCTTCGCCGGGAATCGAACCATTGACCTCTGAAATGCTGGCCCAGCATGCTACCAGCATGAAGGCACGCTAAAGTGGGAGAAATACCTTATATAGTTAGTAGATAAAGTACATAATTATAACTTTTTAATACTCGCGTTCATTACCCCCCCCCCCAATTTGAAAAGAAAAGAACAACAGCTTAAGCATTTTTTTCAACTTTTCAGGTATTGTTTAAGTAAATGTAAGGGCTTAAGATTATTCAGAGGGTTAACATAATGTTACGTTTTTCTTTTCTGACACCAGTTGTTACGTTATTTTCTTCCTTAACGTTCGTACGGGGTTCGTAGATTTGGAGTGAATAACGACGACACTTGATGAAGTATCGAAACACACTTTATTTAGCCAATACTGATCAGGCCAGCTCCAAAGTCACGTTTTACAGTCGTCGAAGATCTACTATAAACACGCTGGAACAATCAGCGACACAACCTTCACACTGTCAGGCAATAATGATGGAGACAACTTCACTGAAAGGCATCAAAGTACAGCTCCCGACTCTGCTCGGTCGTTCTCTGAACTCCACTTACTCTCGAGACTCTCCACGCTACAACTCGCGATGCACTCGACGATACACAAGAGTACAGCTCTCGACTCGGAGCTCAACACATTGTAAGAGAAAATTCGACGATTTGCTAACTCGCGATATACTAAAAGACTCTCTCGATGCACTTGACGACCAACTCTGCGCTAGACTTCGAAACACTCGGTCAATGACTGACTATCAACTCGCTAGCGGAAGCACTTACACACTCTCGATACTAACTGACTGCGGACCAGCAGGGTTTATATAGCTTTCGGCTTGTGTTCGAGAACATTCTGAGCTAAGCCGGTAAGAATTCGTTCCAGAAGGTTCTCCATCCGTCCATGGCATATCGCCGATTTCTCGCCAAATGTGGCAAGCCTTCTTTTCCTTGCCATTTTATGGCAATCCTAAAACTGCTTTCCGGGAAAGCCATCTTACCGCGCCTGTACATTTCGTAAAACTAAATAAAGACTAAAAACGGAAAGCAAATTTAAAAATAAATTGTTAAGAAAAACCAAAAAAAATTTTTTTTTAATAATTCATAGGAGTAAAATTGGAATTTTGTATTCTGAACTGCTGCGAGGTTGATATTAGTGGTTCTACTACAATGAAAACTGCAAAGTTGTTTTTTTAAATGAAGCTTCTGCTGGCCTGCAACAGAGCTAATCTTTGCAAAGATTTGAAACAAAATGCTTAAAAAGTTATATATTGGCTTGAAAGGATTTGAATGCAAAGATTCAATTTCTTAAATTTTGCTTGAATTTTATTGCCTGGGACCTTCAGGACCTCTCGAATGAGACACCTTTTATTCCAAAATAATAAAAGGCCACAGACTTTCCTTTGGATTCTGTACATTTTGGTGTCCGCCGATAACATCGCGGCAAAAACATCGCGAACGAAAACGTCGCGGAGAAAACAACGCAAAGCGAAAACGTCGTGCTGCAAAACATCGTGGGAGAAAACATCGCAAAGAGAAAACATCGCAGTTCTAAAACATCGTGGTACAAAACATCGTCGTCGAAAATAAAGCGGATCAAAAACTTCGCAATTTAAAAACATCGCCTTCGAAAATATCGTGGTAAAAAATAAAGTATCTACAAATCATCGCATGACGATAACATCGCAGACATGCTTTTTTCAGGTTTTAATAATTGTAAATGGATATTCCCATAATGATTTGTGAGCGCAAGGTGTAAAGAAGGATAAATTTTACTTTCACATTTTTTATTAACTAATAAAATTTTGCTGAAAACGTAAGAAGGAAACTTAAGCATAGAAAATTAAATGTAACTTATTTGTTATACTTTTCATGAAATATTATTAGTAAAAACTTTATAAAAATGATTTATTAATGGCCTTTGTTAGTTAACTATGTCGGTTTAAAATTCTATTAAGTGCTACACTGACTACCAATAAGTATTTGGACACCTATGCAAGTGACGATATCTGCGGTCCTAAGGTACGTCACGGACTCTGCAGGTATATATCGTGTAGGAAACAGCATTGGCTTTGTCGCATGCAAGATGCCTCGCAGTTCGGAGCTCTCTGATTTCGAGAAAGGTATAATTATCGGGTATGACATCCTTACCTAGTGTGGCTGATCCTTAAGGACATATCTAGCGATCTGTACCCATAATCGACAGTGGCCTATGTGATTAAGAAGTGGAAGGTGAGCGGTGATTGTCGGAATGTGCCCCGAGTCGGCAGACCAGCGAAACTGGGAGATAGAGACCGACGAGTGCTGTCCAGAGAAATTCGGAAGAACCACACCCAACCGATGGCCCTCATCCGCGAGGAGTTTCAACAGGCATCCTTGAGTATTGTTTCAATGAATACCATCCGTAAGGAAGCACATCTGCTTGGTTTTCACTGTCGTGCTGCTGCCCATAAGCCTTTGATTACAAAGTCCAACCGCGCTGCTCGGTTAATGTGGTGCAAAGCACATCGAAATTGGACCGCAGATCAATGGAAACGGGCTCTTTGGAGTGACGAACCAGGGTTCACCCTTTACCGTTCGGATGGCAGGGTCTGGGTCTGGCGGCTACCTGGAGAATGTCTCCTGCCAGAATGCATTGTGCCAACAGTCAAGTTCGGCGGAGGTGGAATTATGGTCTGGGGGTGTTTCTCCTGGTATGGGCTGGGACCCTTGGCCCCCATTCATGGTAAGTTCAACTCCGATGCCTACTGCACTATTTTGGATGATAATGTGCTTCCTATGTTGTGGCAGTTTTACGGGTGGGACCCCTGTTACTTTCAGGACATGTTTCAACGTTAACGAAGGCTTGGTATGGTGCCAATGGAGTTCATCGAATGGACTGGCCTGCCCAGAGTCTAGACCTGAACCCTATCGAGAACCTCTGGGACGAGTTGCATCGCCGAATTCAGGGTTGCACTACCCGTGCAAAATCGGTGAAGAAACTTCTATGTCTTCTCCAAGCCGAGTGGAAGAAAATACCACTAGCTGTCATACAAAGACTTGTGGAAAGTATGCCCCGGAGGTTCCCACACTGTAATTACCTCTCGTGGAGGCTCTACCAACTATTGATTTTGAATAAAGTTAGTTTTTATTTTCTATCACAGGTGTCGAAATACTTATTGGTAGTCAGTGTATAAGTTGCATTAATTTTCTATGCTTAAGTTTCCTTTTTATTTTTCTCAGCAAAAGTTTATTAATTAATGAAAAGTATGAAAGTAAAAATTATCCTTCTTTCCATCTTGCGCTCACAAATCATAATGGGAATATCCATTTACACTTATTAAAGCATACCTTAAAAAAGCATGTCTGCGATGTTATCGTCATGCGATGATTTGTAGATACTTTATTTTTTACCACGATATTTTCGACAACGATGTTTTTAAACTGCGAAGTTTTTGAACCGCTTTATTTTCGACGACGGTGTTTTGTACAACGATGTTTTAGAACTGCGATGTTTTCTCTTTGCGATGTTTTCTCCCATGATGTTTTGTAGCACCATGTTTTCGCCTTGCGTTGTTTTCTCCGCGACGTTTTCGTCTGCGATGTTTTTGCCGCTATGTTTTCGGCTGTAACCGTACATTTTAAATTTACGCGGCATTGGAAACTATTTTACCATAATAGTATAATATAATTTCGTTAATTGATCAGTCATCGATTCTGGGCATATTCAGCCAATTACGAACCCGTACGAACGTAATACTTTGTATTAATTCTAAAATACTTATTATATAATGACTGCTATATAGATATCACGCATGTGAAGAAAGATCCTTACCTAGTGTCTTGTACAGGATATCATCTGAAGGCACCATGATTTCTGGGAAAGCAGTCTTTAATCTTTTGCTGATGACCGGCATCGACGCTATTGAACCTTCTGACGTTAAATCGTACACAACTTTACAAAGAGCTTCTGGTAGGGGCGCAAACTGGGTCTGAGCTACGAAGTTCATTGTGACTGGATCCAGATCACCTAAAAAATGGAAAAATTAAAATCAACGCATTTTGTCAGAGTTAAAAAGAAATATTTATTTGTTCAACTTTATTGTTGTTCAGAGAATAAAATTTATTGTCATTAAGAAAATGTTTATTTTTGCTGTTTTATTCACCACGTATGAAAGAGTTCAAAACAAATGTGAAGTTCTGCGTAATCATTTCTTCAAACAAATTCTGTTCAGTATACTTTTTAAGGCATTTTTTGAAAAAAGGAGGAAATGGAATTATTTTTTTTCCAGTGCGAAAATTGTTTCTACTAAAAGGTCACTTGTTTCTGGGACGTCATCAGCTCACGTGTTTGTGCAGAGAGTGATGGGAGAATGCAAAATCGATGTTAAAATACAATATTCTTCGATGAGGTAAAAACTAGTATGAGATATGAAGTAATATATGACGAAGTGATAGAGACTAAACTTGATTTTTCAATGAAATTAAATAAAAGGAAATATGTTTTCTAAATGATCAAAACTTTGAAGAATAATGATGTTGATTTTCTACTATTATGCAGCATGTATCTAAGGTATTTTTAAACATGTCTGTTCCTCAGAATTTAGGCAGGCAATTGTAAAACCTGCTTGCATTTCTTTCAACAAGACATAGCCTTAATGAGCCTAGCGACCAATATGCAAAACATGATAAGTATTCGTTTTCCACAGGCTTTGTAACTATAATGCAAGATCGGTTAAACATTCACTCCGGAGGATGACATGTTAAACAACTGGGCACATACACAAGGCCATCTTAACTCATGGGCCGTCAGGGCGCTTGCTAGGGAGGCTCATGAGCATAGGGTACTCATGCGAATTCGTTTGCATTTTATTTCTGTGAGCGGTTATGTTAGGGGTCCCAGTATACTAGTATGCCTGGGATCCATAATGTTGTAAAGACGGCAGTGCATATACATTAATCCTCCAAGAAGTCTAGACTACAAGTATGCCTGGGATCCATAATGTTGTAAAGCCGGCAGTACATATACATTGATCCTCCAAGAAGTCGAGACTACTAGTATGCCTGGGATCCATAATGTTGTAAAGACGGCAGTACATATAGATTGATCCTCCAAGAAGTCTAGACCTTGCCTATTGGATTTCTTTCTTGAGAACATAGAAGCATTGATATACAGTGAAAAGACTGAGGATCATGGTCAAATGAAAACATCATTATAACAACTGAAAGCTTTTACTACTGATGTTCTTACTCCAATGTAGACGAACGTTATGAAAGTAGGTGCATATTGTTTCGATGATTGCTATTCTGATAGTGATGCGAATTTCGTATTGCTTTTCACTCTCTCCGTTGGCTATTAATTACAGTAAAACGATTCAGATCCTGTTTTTGCGATATTTATTACCGAATAATTGAATACTTCGCTATTGTTATTTTCGGATACTCCTCAAATAACTGCGAGGTTACAACTATAGAGAAGACTATAATATTATATAAAATATTTCAAGTGTGAAACAGAAAATTATTTTTATCTTGATGTAGTAATTTACATCTGCAAGTTTCTTTATTTTTCACACTTTTATTTATAATCCTTAAACACTGACTTGTACTTCGAAACGAGAGTTCAACATTTGATCGAAAAAGTAAAGACAAAGAAAGGAAAACAAACTAAGTTTGCATCTAGTGTGGTCTTCACTGGTGTCTAGCACGCGATGTGTCATTAAGCACGCAACATATTGGTCAGTTATGAAACTACTTGTGCGGCCGCCTAAGCCAAGAACAAAAGATAGCAACAATTTAAACAGTTATCTGGTAGATAGAAATGCTCTAAATGAGGGTGAAACTAGATGATTGGTGGCGTCTAAAGTCATAGTTTTAAAGAATCGAGATTGCATTTTAATGTAAATGTTTAAAATGCTAGTATGAATATTTGTTTTCTCGTTTACATTTTTAAATTATCTTTTGGATATTAGTTCACAAGTATATTTTTTTTGGCAGTTAGAGCTTTCAGAAATGCTTTTTAAAAATTTTCTGTTGTACGGATTCTTTAATTTTTCTCAATATATTGATTACTTTGCTCAGTGTTCCATTTACAGCAAATGATACAATGCTTTTATTGCATGCGTCGCATATGGAAACGGAAGTCAAAGAAAATTTCTTTTGAAGGCATATCGGAAAAACTCCTCTAAATCTAAGGCATTGGAATTTTCATAACATGGTTAATTTTACTTTTGAAGTACTTTTTGAAGTACTTTTGAAGTAAATTTTGAAGTACTAATTTTCTAATACTAATTATTGGGAAGATTACCTATTCCAGCAATTAAATCTAAGTGTGCTTTTTTATTAGTATTTAGAAAGAAAAAAATAAAAACTAGATAAAAACACAATGCTACTTCACAAATTTCTAATTTAGAAATCATGTCGACTAAAAGAATATTCGCGAATGAATCTAATGACAGCTATTATGCATATCAATATCGGGCTGATACTTCTGAACATTGTAGTAATGTTTGTTTACTGCAAAGTGATATATTTCGGTTGTTTATCCCAGGTCTTTAAATGCCAACAAAGACAGACCTCAGGCATAAACATGGAAACAAAAGTTGGTTTCTCTCCTCAGCCGTTCGTTACAGAATTTCAGAGCTCGTGGTGAGAGACAATCAAAACTAAGAACCTATAGTGAATTGGAGTTTCAGAAAGCAGCGCTCCTTTTACTCTGTATCACGTGAAGAACATCAGTAAAACCAAAAGACGAAAGTAAATGTCAGTCAGCCGCCATCAGTCGACGAAAAAGGTGAGTGTCTGGTTGAAGGTTCAAATCAGTGAAATAAGTACATCCATGTTGAGTAAGAAAAAGTCAAAGAAAATTCATCCCGAAATGCTGAGGCTTATGAAGTCAATTCAGAACATCGGTTGTCCTTATTTACTAAATGACGTTGCCCAACTCGTTTTCTAAATTCAAAATTACTCAACTCGATCACAAACAAACTGTACAATCATTACCACTAATCTGTTCACAAGGCCTTCAGAATGACTGCTTCACAAAGAACTAAAACTATAAACGTCTATGTGTTACCAAAGAATTCAGATATTGTGACATGAGAAAAATTGATGTCTAACCCTCAGGAAGAATGTCATTAATTCAATATTTACTAAAAGTAGTTATGGAAAATGGTACATTTCACTAGAATAAATTGACTTCAGTAGTCATTTGAGCGATAATTTTAGGAATAACAGCAGATAGTTAAATATGCGAATACTGCAGTATTAAGTTTAGTATATTACAGTAAAAAGTCGAATCTTTTGCTACCGTGCAACACAAGGAATCCAGGCTTTAAATAAATGACCTAAAAGTTAAATTTCTGTAGAATACGTGCAATTTTATAGCTAGTATTCTCCTTTCCATACTTAATGACCCAAATTCCGGATATGAATTCCTGAGGTATTTACAGGATTCCTTGCCAGTGTAGTTTAATTTACATTCGTCAAATTTAGACAGCCATAAAATTTTGCGTTAAAGAACATGAGACGTATGTTAGAAAAAAGGAAACGAAGAAGTCCTCTGTTGCCCAGCATTGTTGGTCCGAAAACCCCACTTTCCATTTTTCTGCAGCGAAAATTATTCAAAAACATCTTCATGGGTTAAATAGGTTTTCTAAAGGCGTTTCACATTAAAAAAATCTCTCTGTTGTAGTTAACGACCCTAATTCCAATCCATCTTTACCTTCAGCCTTTACGGAAATTATGTTTTAGTTTTCTTGTTTCATCAATAGATGGTGACAGTAGCTTAACATCTGTCCAGCCATTCTTATCTTATCTTATGACTATACCTTATCTCGTTCATTTGCTCTTTGGCAGCTGAGGTTGATGGTTCGGTAAAACCATCGAAACTATTCCTGTGCAAAATTGCAAATATAAAGCTGATTTTTGTTGTGTGACTTCTAAATTAACATTTCATTAGTTTATAATGTATTAAATTCAATTTTTCCTCAATATAAAGAAAAAAAATAATGAGATCACATCATCTGCACAAGCTTTTAAGTGCAAATGTTGTGCAATCTTTGACTCAGAATCGCTAAAATCTAACTTACACCTCCCTGTTAGCATCAATAAATAGAAAATTATTTTCGTTTCCATTACTTCCGTGTAGATTATTCCGTTCGGAATCTTACAAATTATATTTTATTTTGATTCCATCGCACTTTGCAGCAGAGGATATGAAACATAAATAAATATAAATATAATTACACTTGCAAACTTTTTTCGCAGTATTTTTAGGACAGAAATTGGTTCTCAGTTTTATCACATGTTCTTCCTTCGTGATGAAATGATGATAGTCCTAATTTAGGGTTTCGATGAATCTAATCTTTCCTTCTTTTTTTTCTTTCCCCTCTATTCAACAATTTTACATTTGTTTATTTATATTACTTATTTATCTGTTTTGCGAAAATTCAGTCATATTTCGGAATCTCAGGTCTTGAAATAATGAGCCATCAAGATAACATCTGATTTAAAAAAAAGTACTCCGAATACAACCACGCAATGATGTACCTTAGGAAATTATTTTATCATAGCTTTGACATTTTATATTGTCATAACAAAACAATAGATGGCGCTATCAGTCGCCAGTAGACCAGAAATTCATTTCGAAACGAGTTTCGAAAACAAAGGAAGACAAGCAAAATTTAAATTAATGACAAAAAAAAAAAAAAAAAAAAGTAGAAAAGACAGAAAATAAATCTTCTACCAGTAACTCTTAAGGGAGGATTAGTGTGATATAATTTATTCTATTTTCTGAATAGACACCATTAAAATTTTTCTTATCGAGTAAAACAGGTTTCTCAGCAGAAGTTAAGAAACGTTAAACTAAGAATAAATAAATAAACTGTTAAACGAATGTTCATTAAATCGTAATGTAAAAATTTCTGATGGGTTCGTATCTCTAAAACCAAGGCCAAGACCTTTATATAACTAAGTATTTATAAACATAAAATTTAAAGAAAAAAAAAAGGTGCAAGTAATTCAGTCGGT